TGCTTCGACACCGACATCAAGCAAAACCCAGAGAGGCTGAGAACCATCGGTTCCCAATACACCGCTGAATTCAACAGACCCCCCCCCTCCCCCGGCTTTTTCACAGCCTTCAGTGGTAACTGATAAAGAACTTGGCTCTTGGGGGCAAATATAAGGACATCCAGACAACAACGTGTCCTGACCAGGGTTGCCAGGTCACCAACGACCGTGACTCAGCACAGCCCATGAATCGGGGCCCTTTCAGACCACCACAGAAGGTACCTCCCACCCCCAACCAACAGCTAGTCTCTGCCCCAAGCCTCCGCCATCAGGAGCTCTAACGGCTGACACAGGACATTTGCCACCTGGGTGTGTGGGCCAACCCCCCAGAAATGTGCCCTGCTCCCCCCCGCCCACCTTCAGCATGCAGACCAAGAAGGACATTTAAGGACACGGCCTGGCATCCGATGGAACGCCGAACGGCCCAAAGGCTCCTGAGAGGGTGCATCAGGCTGGGCACCCCAAGCCCCAGCTCTCCCGCACCACCCCCCAGGACAGCTCTGGTCCCCAAAGGCAACCTGAAAATCAATGGGTTCCCAAAGGAGCCGCCCGTGGGACCAGGCCAGGCCCAAGTTACCGTCTTCTTTGGAGCTCCTGGCTAAGGCTCTCGCATTCTTGGCGGGAAGGGGCGGGGAGGGCTAAGAACCGGTGAAAAGGAGGGGCAGGGGCTTCATTCCTTCCCCGGTTAACAAACATTCCTGAGGCCGAAGGGGGCCTGCTGACACCCAGCTGGCCCACTTTAAGTTTCCTAACGAATCCCCAACGGCCCTTCTGGAATTCTAGCCCCTCCAGGGACACGTAAGAAAGCAGGCCCTAGCCACCCCCATGGAACTTTTACACTTGCTGAGCTGATGGGGAAAGAAAGTGCCACGCAGACAGCAGGACCACGTACAACATCGCACCTACTTACACAGGTCCTGAGAGTCCCGCATCAAAGCACAGTCTCGGAAACACTAACAAGTCAAAGTCTTTGGAGTTTCTTAAGGCACGGACATTATTTCTGCTCCTCTCCGACAGCAGTATGAAAAACTGGGGTTCTGTGTATCTTCCAGCCCTGGTAATACATCAAGCTACAAGTCAGTGTCAATGTAACGAATGGTTACAAATCTGGTTGCCACCTTGCTGGGGGACTTCAAGTGTGCACTTTGAATTCCAGG